TGTGTCTGGAAAAACATAACATTTTCTTTCAGCAGTCGGTCAAATATTACTTTTAAATTACCATTTTTTAATTTTTCTATTATACAACTTCCTTTCTTTTTTTTTAATTTCCTAGCATTGTTTGAGAAAAGTAATATATTAGCCTTGGCGGGAACGTAGATTGTTTGACTCGTATAGAAACAACTCGCTGGCGCTCGACCTTGTAATTCGTACTCGTCCGGCACTCCCTTACTTCAAGGCCTCTGCAATAATGTACTATACTTATATGCAATAAAAAAGAAAGCACCAATTAATAATAAAATAAACATTTAACGGATCTATGACTAATGTTAATACTTAAGAACACATTCATTTAAGATACTAAGTTACTTAAAAGGATTTCATACTCAGAATTAACCTTTTCGATCGGTATCGTAAAATACACGATTTTTTTTCAAATTTAATCGGGTCGTTTCCCAGTTGAGGCAAGCAACTTTAAAACGTTTTCTAATGCACTATTGCTTACTTTTACATAGTGTTTCCATAAACCGAGATTATTCTCGTCTACAATATTCAAAATATTTTCCATCCGTGTCGCATAACTGTAGAACGCCCTTTATACAGACAGTGTAGGTGATAAATTAATATTGAGAAATCGCTATCTGGATCATTGGAAAAAACCAAGAAAAATATACTTACAACACAAATTCGTTCAGTGAAGGTACGTCACGTTGAAACCTATATTGATTGACATAAGGTCGACAATGCACAAAACCGCTAAAGACTATTCATATGATGATAGTTCGTGCGTAAATTGTTATTGTCGATACATTCCAGGATAGAACGGGATTATTTTTTGGCCTTGATCGCAAAGTTTAGAATAATATTTAAAGTCATCATCTCATCATCCATCCATTTATACGTCTCACTGCTGGGCACGGGTTTCCTTTCAAGCGAGGGTTTAGGCCGTAGTCCACCACGCTGGCCCAATGCGGGTTACGGACACGGTTTTTCAAAGGTTAAGAAAAGGAAGGAAACTCAAACGTGCGACCTCGAATTCGAACCCTCCACCTCTTCTAGGTTAGGCTACCGCGGCCTTTTTTGACATAAAGTACCTAATATAATCTACCAGACAATCACACAAATTACGGTACACCAAATCACAGCAATTTATTCCTACAGGGAATCGAACCCGGGACCTCCTCATACAGCGTCTATAGTACATACCATTGGGCCAACGAGCCCGCCGGATAATAAATGGCTTTAACATACGCAACGCGTACATCTTATGAGCGCGCCACCCGACAGAATAGACAGTTTTATCTTTACCTGCCCCTGTGGGTATGTTTTTTAGCGCCCAGTCTCTGCCAGAATCTGCCAGAACCTGACGGATATAATTCCGTGTAATTATAAAGACAACAACAGACCCCGCCGCGGTGCCGATCCGACTCGCGCCCACTCTCTGTGTGTTTCGTGCATAAGGCGAGTCACCAGAGGAGAAGCGGCAAAAACTGTTTTGCTAGAACAAGTGGTTTGGGTATTTCCTATTAAATAAAAGTCTTACTAAAAATATACGATACACCTAGGGATATTACTTAAGGAATGTGAAAATGCGTTACATGATAGGATGTACTTACGCAACTCGCAACGACTTATAACGACGAAATACAATGCAGCATGCGGGCGACTAGCGACGTAACATTACCGGCGACCGACCGATAGATAAGTGAATTCTCGAATAATTATCGTACATACAGGGAAAATGGATATGGTATCAGAACTTTTTTGTTGAAATTTCTGTTTTACGGGTCCATGCCTTAGGAAGATAAGAAGAAGGAGATTTAATATTCATCCAATTAATATTCTGCGGCGATTACGAACTGCATCAATTAATCTATCGGGGTGAATTATTATAATTTTAATTACTTATGTAATAATCTAACAATAATGGGAACATTAATTGATCATGTGGTAGTAGTCGCAGGCCACTTGCGACAATTGATAGCTGCAAGTCTCACGACTTACGGTCGCCGGTCGCGGGCACGCTGCACTAAGCAATTCAGTTTTAAGTGTTAAAACAAATTGCAGCGAGTCGGTGCGACCGCAGTCGCGAAATATCGTGGGCACGCTGCACGAGCCCTTACCCGCCCAAATAAAATCGTGAAAACAGACTAAAATAAGAATAAAACATCTAACTCTGTACACGTGTTTTATATAGAGATATTTCTCTTTAAGTACTACCGAGAACCTGCTAAGTTTTGGCTTTCAACTGAAGCACTATTACTTATTAAATTTACGTATGCCAACATTTGCAGATTGCCCAGCAGTTTAACGACACACCTCGAAGCCCGTTGCCCCGTCAGTCGCATCGGGCGCTTGTCGACGTCGGATCTGTGTCAAATCTTCTCCACTTGTTCTTATTTCATTCGTATTCATTTACAGTGCGCGGATTGCGGGATGCGAGGGGCGACGCCCCACACCTCACCTCTTCAAATTTAAGCTCGCTTTAAAACACATTTCTCTTTGCTTATGATAGTTTCATAAGCAAAGAGAAACGACGCGACGATACGACGCGTGTAAATTGTGAAGCGGAGTTAGTAGTCTAGTCATACTCAGGTTTCTATTTTAATCGCAAAATATATAAGCTGTAGATTATCATAAAACTGAAGCATCTTATGTTATTTATTATGGAAAAGTCATTTCCACACACGCCCACGCATTCAGGATTATGACAAAACGAAATTTGTGTGGGTGTATCGTGATGCTTGAACAATGGTCTTGCCCATTGTTACATTAGTCGTTATTTTATTTCAATATTAATTCATATTTCGTACTTTCGGACTCCCGTAAACTTTGACTTGAAAATCAAGCCGTTGTCTAATTTACAGACTTCAGAAATTGTAACGTTGCGAAAGGTCTCCTAACCTAAAGTACTTGACATTTCACTTTGAACGCCAAACTGAATTTTGAATCAGACGAATGGGCCTCAGGTAATAATTAATGTTTTAATAGTTGGGAGAGAAAACTAAATAAGATTCATTGAAAACTATTTTATACTTCTTTCATTTTACTCTTCCAGTGAGCCACCTGGTGCACGACTTGTTCGTCATGTCATTTGATATCGTAAAAAAAAATTAAGTTAAATTAATATTTTATGTAATGGTTGCATAATGAGAGTTAAAGGAACCGTGGCCTAAGCAATAGACCAAAAGTATAAGACTTAATTATGTAATGGTTGCATATAACACTTATTCTACGAGGAAATTAAAATAATTAAAACAACCAACATTGAAATATTCTTTGTTAACAATCTACGACAATTAACTCAAATGAATGCCAAACAAACACTACGAAACTAAAAAACCAAAGAGATTGAATAGTAAGAGAGGCAGTAAAGCGTTTGAGTAGCATCATATTTTGATATTTTAAATTGTTTTGAAATAATTAAATGGTTATTATAAATATTATTTAAGAATAATTACAATTTTGATAATTTCCAAAAAATAGTGACGTTATTCTGTTTAGGAACACAGTGACGCGTTTAAGAAGACTTTCAATTAGCAAAAATACGACGTTCTTTTTTTGAAACTCAATATGGTTCTGTACTGATTTTGGTTCAGATTTAAATAGAATGCGAGAGAACGAGATTGTGATATCGTTTATAAATTATAATTGAGAGATTAAAGTATACCAAAATATTTTTCATATTTATTCGATTCATAATATATTTATTCAATCATGCTATATAAATATAACAAAATAAAAGAAGGAAAGATTACAAAACATTTTTATGAATTTACATGAGAGAGAAACGAACAAAACATCTATTTGCCAAACAAAAATCTCGTTGAAGTGATCGTGTAGATTATGTTTTTGTCTATGTTCTACCATCATATTTGCATCAAAGCTCTGAAAGAATGTCTGATCAGCCCTTCAAAGAATATTTATCGAGTTGATATTAGTGTACTAAACTCACTTTTTATAAGAATCCCCTACTCAGTACCATGTGGGTGTTCGAATCCTAAAGTAAATACAAAATGGCTTCTTCTCTAATGCAGACCATTATATCTAAACACATGCTAAATTTCTCAACAAATAGACATTTATAGTCCAGACCTGTAGCATGCCGCCGTGATAAAGCTATTATATCCACATTTTGCTGTAAAAATCGAGTGATAAAATCGCCATTTTAAAATTTTATCACAATAGCTAACATGGCGAGCACCGTGACGTCACATTTTTGTCGCATCGCGAGCGCCTCGACCAATGTCTGCAAAAGAATATCGTAGTGCCAATTTTAAAACATTTTGATAGTTCTGCACAGTAATTTTATAAATGTAAAAAATGAGCGCGACAAACAAGATAAAAACAAATAATAAAAACCAACAAATTGGCATATGTAAGTTATTGAAAAAAGGGGAGGAGAACATTTTTAATACAGTTCAATGCATTAATTAATATATTATATTATATATTTGTATAATTACTAAATAACGTAAAATATGAAACAGCAAAAACTTGGAATTTTTTGTTTCGTCATTTTCTCGGGGATGATTAAACGACAACGATAACTCACCCCGCAATTTAAAGCCGACCATGCGCAGCAGGGCGAACCCGAATACACCGTAGGTAGGTGTAGTTTATTACCAAATAAACAAAAGAACGAATAATTTTAGTGCGGTATCTTAAAATTCTGTATTCGCGATAAAAAAAAATGGCAACATAGCTTTATCAACTGAAATAAATATGTCACACGGAGGTTTGTCATACATTGCATCTGATATGCTGCCATGCTACGACCACTGGGCTCATTCAATCAGGATCTGCCCCTTTCATTTACTATTGATTCATTAAATAGACTCATACTGAATGTTCACGTTTAGTGTGTTTTACATAAATAGCGTTCATATCATTCGATGCTGAAAAAAAGATTCGTGGAAGTGTTTTCCATGAAACTCAGCTCGACCACGACATTGATTACTCTCGTAAAATTATGAATAAAAAAGAAAGAAATCACTCACCATATTCAGGACATGTGACGCAGAAAGCTACAGCCAGGAAAAAGCCGACCACCTCTCCCCCAAAACCTTTTCCGGCCATTTTGTCCTCTTTTTAACCCACGCTGGCTTTGAACGACATTTTTCTATTTTCTCGTTTCGACCAATTACACTAAACACCGAGCGTCCTTTGTTCAAAAATCGTTTTGATCGACATTGTTCGGATTCCGATTTGACGTCACTTCTGCAACAACAAAAAGATTTTGGTTAAGAAATTTTACTTAAAATTACTTTCTAAATACTTATCGCTAAATTGTTTACTGGTACATTCGTTTAGGACGACTGACGTTAATCGGTTGGTGCGGTAACATTAGTTTATAGGTTATCCATCGATTAAACAATCATTTGATTGGTGTGTCAGGAAATGTCGATCGACGTTAATAGTAATAAATGGACAACTTGTTCTTTCCACAACAGGAGTTATTCCCAATCGTCTTCTCCATAACCTCAAACTATTATTTTAAAGAACCCTCTACATAACCTTGCAAAAGGCTGTAATATTGAATACATGTCGAATTGTCAGAAAGTTTATGCAGATGGAGAGAACGAAGTGGACTCTCATTACACACCCTTCACATAAATACATACCATAGTGAATTTACTTTATTTCGGTCTGTAAGTGCGGTTAATACCAGCCAAGAGGCAGAGAGAGAAAAAGAAAAAGAAAAAATAATAATAACGCACACATTCGTAGCTCCATAATAAGGAAACCCTGTATCTGTGGTGTCATGGACACAGCCATAGACAACCATATATCACACCCAAACTCATGAGAGAAATAAATGTAAGCCATACGATTATTTCTACCTACCCAGGAATCGAACTCGGGACCTCTGCGTGGCAGATCACCATGGTAACCGTTCGGCCACAGAGGCAGCATTTTTATGCCACTTTTGGTTCATCTATTGGTTAATGAAACACACTTTGGACCTTTTCGTGAATTCAGGTGGACGTAGAACGTCGCGGCCGCAAGTTGACACAGGAGTACATACTTTTTTGGTTTTTTTCATAAAAAAAAAAGTACACATTTCACCTCCGTTTAACCTGATGGAAATAACGCTCACAATTGGACGTAGTTAAGCAAAAAGGATCCAATTTACAAAATTATCAAGAAATGAGTCATACGTACCAAACGATTCCTAAAGTCTATCCTCTTAGATCAGCAAAAATTCCAACATATAAACATAAGTACATATCTCTGGAGTTACGTGACATTATAAGTTTTGAAAATATAGATAAAACAATAGTGAGAAACATTTTCAAACTTCAAACTGCCATATCTCAAAAGTGACTGGATGCGCATTGGATCCTTTTTGTTTAACTACGTCCAATTGAAAAGCGTGCCACGCACTGCTAGCACCGCTTAAGCATGTCCTGTAGATTGTAATGTAGCCTGAACAGTCCTGTAGGTTCTCTTTGTGGAGGTTTGTCATTTCTAGACGTATCAGACCTTCGACACTATTTAACATTTCCAGAAAATATATGTGTATAAACATGTTACAGCGTTAAACGTATATAAGAAGCTGTTGTATTTGTAATTTAGTATGATGAGAGGAACACGTGTGCATGCTTCGGGAGTTTGGTAGAGAGTGACGACGGAACGAAACAAAGTGAGAATGACATACACACACACTCATAGCCTAGGGAAAACCTGTATCGCGGATGCTATGGACACACACATAGACAACCACAAGTGATAATCAAGTCGCCGACGTATAGTGCACACTTAAATATTGTTTATTCACCTTGAAATGGCACAAGTAATAGCAAAGTCTACATGCAAGAAATTCGACTCCTTAGCCTTATTCTATCCTTAGGTTAACTTCCATTCGCATATTTCACCTGTATCTACGGTTTGATACATGGACGAGTGATGTGTTTGCATATTAAGTACAAACGCCAGTCTTGTTGCTTTGAAAGTCGTAGAAATTTAAATACAAACACTCGCTCACCGAAACATAGTTTCTGTCTATGCCATCTTTAGTCACAAAGTCTACGTGATGTAAGTCACGTAAAATTATGATAGTAATTGAATGAAAAAAAATTGTCTTATTCTCGTGCGACACGGCTGTCCGTATAAAGCTGCATTTGTCGAATTGTGCGTGCAAAATAACCCCACTCTGGTTTTTTAAGAAGACCGAGAAACAGTCTCTGAAAAACGTGATGTAAATATTGTTTGCTGCATAGAAATCATCAAAATAAAACAGTTTAATTTGTTCCTTTGCCCAGCAGCGTGATACATCAGCCTAATTGTAATTGTAATTTGTTCCTAGTTATGATGTACTGTCATTATGCACCAAATGTAATTAATCGAAATAAGAAATCCCTTTATAGGATAACCTGGCCTTTGTACAATACGGTTTAGTTTTTTTTTGTTATGTTTGTTTTGTTGTACAATTAAGTGTATACATATATACATTTCCCATGTAAGCCTCCATCAGCTGTTTATCGATTTGTAAAATAATTGTAAACTCAAAAGACAAACAAAAATGTTTACCTTAATATAATTGGAATGCCGTATTAAATGGAAACCATTCAACAAAAAATATCCACATAATTCAATTTATTTTTGATTATAACAAGTAATTCGTATTGAAAGCTCCTTGATTTCTGAAGTAAACATAACATGAAAGCAAATATATTCAACAGAACACAAATAGAACGTAAATAATGGAATATCTTATACGACTAACAGAATTGAATAACTCTGTTATGGGCAACATAAGGCTTCGTAAGCCTTTCTTTTTTGCCGAGTTATTATGTGCCTACTCCATTCATTATTGTAACAAGATCGAAGTCAATACCATATATATTTTTTAATATAGATCTTGTATTTCATATTGTTTTTTAAATGTAACTGTAATAAATACTTTATTTATATTCTCACCCAGTACCCTTGGCATAATGAAGTCATACGTCAGATGATGCTTTTATAACGTGAAAATCAAAGAAATAATAAGAAATAATAGAAACAAACTATGCATAAGGTCAGGTGGGGTAAGAGAACACCGGGGAAAAGAGTCTTGAAGCCCTAACTCATAACCTAAATAATTTAACCATATACTATCTTAGTCGATAAAGTAGACAAACAAATTAGTTTAAACGATTGTAAGCAGATGTCGCTACGATGCTCCAAATCCAAAAGGTGGAATAAATAATTTTGACAGTTATAAATCTTGAGAAAATAAGTTACACATTGCCTTTATTATGTAGTACATTCAGGCTTTGTAATAATTATCACAAAATCATGATGAATTTTATTTGTTCTGTACAAAGATCTTAGAGGATGGAAAAAAATAAATAGTCCAAGACAAACATAGAAACAGTCAGGCGGGAAAGAATGGAAAAAGGCGGGAAATGACCAAACTTCACTTTAACACATTACGTATCTGGCGATAATATATGTGTATATATGACTTTTGTTTGGTAGTCTATATTATTTTGTTTCCATTGCTTGTTTTAATTACTCGGTAATTTTAGTGTAATTCTGTTTTTCAAAACTTGTGTTTTTTTCTTTGTTTTGTGTAAGCAATTTTGAAAGCATTTTATGTCAAAGGTGGAAATGCGTAAATGGTGTTTTATTGCTAATATAACTATTATAATTGTATAATTAGACCGTGAATTTTGTAAAAGTCTGTTTCCCTTACCCATCGATACTTTATTTTATCACTCTCCTATTAAATCATAAAAATCATAATGGCTAATTTTATTAGTAGAATTTTTCTTTTTTTTTTAATTTAGTGAAAATGTTGCATAGCAACGTGTAATAATATATGGGCATCTTAGAATTACTTTAGCGCATTTTATTTTCATGATATCAAGCCACGGGACGGACAAGTCGTGCGCCTGGTGGTAATAGTCACACCTATCCATGACAGTTGCCGTGCCACTCAGAGTTTTAAAACTCAAAAATCTAAGCAGCACTGCCACTGCGTCCGCAACCTTAAGATATATATTGTCTGTAATTTCACCAGCACCCTTACCCTTAATAACCGGAACGCAGTAATGCTCACATTACTACTACTTGGCGGCAGAATCAGGTCAGGTTGCAGCACATCTCTGGACGACCTATTTCACTAGGAGCTTTACTACGAAACGAATTTTTGCAACAAAAACGCTTGTTGTAACGTAGAAACTAAGTAGCGGTAATTCTCGAGACGACGTGAGAATTCTCCGACTTGTACGTTACACATTTGATATGAAATTCATTATATTTATAATTTTTAACGTAGTTTAACTCTCTCTCTCTCTCTCTCTCGCCTCTCCCTTATCCACTTGATGTGTTACGCTACACGCGGAGAAAGGATGCCTGGAGACCTATCATACAGGCTAGACCAAAATTAGGCTCCAGTCTCCCACAAATGTAACCTGTATCTTTGTGAGGAGAAATAAATAAATTTGTATTTTTGTATTTGTATTATGACTATGGTTACAAAAATTCTTTCCATTCCGTGTCAAAGCAATGTGAATTTGGCCAAAAGGCAACTGTCGACTTGCTTGATGACGAAGGTAAATGTAAGCAAAGTCTATTGAAATTACAAAAGGACAACAACCAATAAAATAATATAGTATCAATCCAATTAACTCACATTGTCGAATTATTTCCAGAACATCACTTCCATCACTTAGGAAATCTATTTCTCGTCCGGTCGTTTAGAATTTATTATCCCATGTTTCGGATATCAGTTAATTACCTTCTCGTTTATATCCTCCATTAACTCAAGCTTTCTTGTAATCACTCAAGATGTACCGAGTGTCGGTTGCGATCTATTTATCTTGACACCTGTATCTGACACTAGCTCTCTAGGGATGTGTGGGATACGTCTAATCTCTGAGGGCTTAGTATTTTTTCATTATAGTAAAAATTATTGAATGAACGCTATGTACTTTTGAGCAGTTCTAAGCTGCTTTTACCTTTTTTAATTCACGGTAAGAGTCAAGTTTCCCTAGACTCTAGGTTCTTTACTTCTATTGCCTTAAAATGACACCAAACAGGTGGTTATAAACATATTAAAATATGGTTTTTCAGAACAGAAAAATTTGTTTATATTAACAATATTTGCTGGTTTCTTCTAACATAGTCATAATTAAAAAAAA